ATATGTATGCGCAAAAATAAACTCGATTGTAAAGGGGAAAAGAAGAAAACCAGAATTCTTTTGAACACACATGACGGGGGCTCGGCGCCTGCGAGACTGGGGGTAGGCCAACCCGCGGTACGCACATGCACTGCAGGCAAGATGTTGCCTACCCATCAGGCGCTATGAGACCGTGCGATGAGCTTCGTCAAGGTTTGACCCTAATACTAATAGTTTTAGAGTGTGTACTAACATGGTAGAGCACCAGTATCCAAACGGTATTGAGTGGTGCGAGAGTGACGTTTCCACCTCCCAACGGCTGTACAGCGTAAAAAATTAGAGGATCGTGAACATTTTTTTTGAACTCTTTGAATATTGCATTTGATTAGTTCTTTTACGAGTTAACCCAAGGTTTTGGATCTGTCACCGATTTTGGTTTTTGTCTCGAAAATTAAAAACAAAGTATTCAACAAGTATGAGCTCGGGCTAACAAGGGAACCTTTTCAGGTGTAAATCTCCGATTTCGTTGAAACTTGGAAAATTTGAAGGTTATTTATGTAGAAATCGGATGGCACTTGAAATTTTTCCTAAACCTGACATTTAGTTTTCCCCTATATAAGGTAGGAGTAAGATGTTAGAAAAAAACAATTTTTGAAAAATGTAAAAGCAGTGTCGTAAGGGGTAACTCGTCAAAGTAGTGTCCTTTGGGCCCAAATTTTGTCCGTTTTGCTCTATTTTGAACCGTTTAAGCGGTAGAGGGATATTTAGAGCAAAAAACAGTGTCAGGCTTAAGTAAACCCCTAGTAAATGTTAAGTTTAGGAAAAGTTTCAAGTGCCATCCGACTTCTATTAAAATAACCTTTAAATTTGCCGAGTACCAACGAAATCGGAGATTTACACCTGAAAAGGTTCCCTTGTAAGGTGGGCTTACCTATCACCCCTGTCCACAGGGTCCCCGTAGGGGGTTTATCAGCCAACTGCTACTGTATCTTTCCAAATTCAAATAATTGTAAATTTTACAACGCACCGCATCGTGGTAAATTTTCCTGACGCCCTGCTTACAAGTATTCTTCATAGTGAGCATGGACAAATCTATACGCACCTTTCTGCCACACTGGGCTGGACGGTGGGTTGGAGTCCACGTCGCACTTAAGCGACAGCGGGCTGCCCTCCCGGACGGGTGTGCCGAAGCCGGGGGCTCGGGTGATGTCGAAGGACGGAGAATCTGCAACACCAACAAGAACATTAACATCACATCAAGAGGAAGGGAGGCAGCATTATGAGGATAGGGATTTTAATTTTACAAAGAAGTATTTAAGGGGGGATTTTTTCAGAGGTTTTAGAAATGTCTACTTAAAATGTATGGTTGGAAGTCCCGGAAAGTTTCCGGAAAAATATCCAAGACTTTGCAAGTTATTTATGAATATTCCCGAAAATTTTCGGAAAATTTGGGAAATTTTCAACCCTTTTAGAAGTTGTTTTATTACATAGTTTTCTAGAAATATTTCAATGTTTTCCATTTGCTTTTCTCGGAAAGTATCCAGTTTCTCTAAAAAAAATATTCGGACTGGAAATTCCCCTACATGAAGAGTGACGATCAGCGCGTCCTTCGGAAAGAGTGTCGGGAGGAGAGAAGTGTCATCGCAGTGTCGTGATGGGGAGGTTGTCAGAAGCGGGAGAAAGACACGAAAGGCGGATAGGAGGGAGAAAGAGAGTGTTATGAGGAAGGCGAGGAGGAGGATGGCCTCGGAGGAGAAGAAAGGACGAAGCAACCCCAACGGGACGTCGAAGCGGCCATCATGAGCCGGAGTGTTAGCCTCGCGACAGGGCTCGGCTAGGCGATGGTACAGCGATGTCGGCGCCGAGCTGATCGCGTCACGTCTGCCCAGGACGGTGCCCCCACCTCCTCTGCTCCCTTCTCTATCAGGACGCTAGATTGCCTGGTTTGTTGCGCGGGCGCCTTCGCCATACCTCCGAGAGGGCGGCGGCGGCGGCGGCGGCGGTAGAATTGGGAGGGAGAGAGTGAGAGAGTGAGAAAGAGCGAAGATAGCGAGAGAGAGAGAGAGGGAGAGAGAAAGGGAGAGAGA